GAGGAGTGGATTAAGGTGGAGGTGCAGCTCAAGGATCTGATCTTGGCTGACTACGGCAAGAAAAACAAGTGAGTGGGGCAGTGGGGAGACAGCTGCAAGACCCAAAAAGGGTGAAGCGAATGGCTCAGTGTGTAGATTCTGGGGTTTTTTGAAACATTTAGGCTCAGACGTTTCTGAAGAAATTGTCCTGGGTGATGCCAGTAGAAGAAAGGAAGGCAGTGTCTTCAAATAATGAAGGAAGGGTCTGTGTTTGGGGGCTTCATGCTGACTTCCGGGCATCGTCTCTCAGCAGAGGCACTGTTGCCACTTTGAGCAGGGTGGTTCTTTATTGTCCATAGGAGACGTTCTAACATCCCCGACCCTGAGGTACCACTGCCAGTGGCGCACACACCCCCTTCTTCCATCTCCTTCCCTGGTACTGTGGGGGCCAAGTGTCCATAGATTTCCAGGTGTCTGGTAGGTCGACTGACAGTACCAGCTCTGAGAACATGTTTTAGGGTTTCTGTTTTCAAAAATGGCTGTGCTAGGGCACTTTTTTTTTTTTTTTTTTTATTTTAGAGAGAGGGGAAGGTGGGGACAAATGGAGAAAAACATCGATGTATGAGAGTTACACATGGATTGGTTGCCTCTTGCACACCCTGTCCAGGGACCTGGCCTGCAACCTCGGCATGTGGCCTGATTGGAAATCCAACCAGCGACCTTTCGGTTCGCAGGCTGGTGCTCAATCTACTGCTGCACACCAGCCATGGCAGTAGGGCACTTTTTATCAAGGAAGAGTGGGAGGTATGGATACTGAGCTGGTTTGAGCGTGGCTGAAAGGTGCATGTGCATAGGGCCATTCTAGGGTTTGATGATTCTTACCAATATTAGTGTCTCTCCACTTCGCAACTCCTGTACAAGTGTCCCTCGAGGACTGTCCGGGATAACATGGGCTCCCCAGTACTACCAAGTGACATTCTTGCCATTGAGGCATAAGTGACCAAGGGGAAGGGATCATTGTGGTATCACCTACACTGTCTCCACAGTGTGAATGTGGCGTCACTGACACAGTCGGAAATTCGAGACATCATCTTGGGAATGGAGATCTCAGCACCCTCACAGCAGCGGCAGCAGATCGCCGAGATTGAGAAACAGACCAAGGAGCAGTCCCAGCTGACTGCCACGCAGACGCGCACCGTCAACAAGCACGGGGATGAGATCATCACCTCCACCACCAGCAACTACGAGACCCAGACCTTTTCATCTAAAACCGAATGGAGGGTCAGGTACTTTTAAGGGGGGAGCGGGGTGGGGGTGGAAGGGCCTGCTAGTGCTACCTGAGGTGCTCGGGTTGAGAAGGGCTGATACCCCTTTCTGTTTTTAGGGCCATCTCGGCTGCTAATCTGCACCTAAGGACCAATCACATCTATGTTTCATCTGACGACATCAAGGAGACTGGTTACACCTATATCCTTCCCAAGAATGTGCTTAAGAAGTTCATCTGCATATCTGACCTTCGGGCTCAGGTGAGTGTGTTCAACTAGGCCATGATGTGTGCCCAAACATTTTATGTATCTAAAGCTCACCTAGGGTTTCTGGAACTGGAGGCTGGTATCAGGATGCATAGATAAGTAAATGTACAAGGATAGCCAAAGCAGCAAGGAAGGGTTTGGCCCCACCAGATATCAAAACATTATTTAGTTACGGCAATTAAGAGAATAGTATACAGTCAAACAGATTCATGTGTATATAATAAATATGGTAAATCAAGTCTGTAGGGTTAAGGATGCCTTATAATAAAACAGTTAAGAAAAAGAAATCTAGATCCCTACCTCACAATATTTACAAAAATTAAATCCAGGTGGAATAAAGAGCTAAATGTAAAATACTAAATAAACTAGAGTATTAGAAGAAAATACTTATTACCTTAGTTTTGGGATAGCCTTCTTAAAGAAGATAAAAAGCACAAAACCAAAGTCAAAATGAATGACTGGCCCTGGCTGAGTGGCCGAGTTGGTTGTAGTGTTGTCCTGTACACCAAGAAGGTTGTGGGTTTGACTCCCAGTCGGGATGCCTGCAGGAGGCAACTGGTCAGTGTTTCTTCCTAAAATCAATAAAGTCCTTGGGCGAAGGTTTTTTTTTAAAGATTTTTCTTTATTTTTAGATAGAGGAAGGGAGGGTGAAGGAAAGGGAGAGAAACATCAGTGTGGTTTCCTCTCTCACACACCCCCTGCTGGGGACCTGGCCCGCAACCCAGGCATGTGTCCTGACTGGGAGTCCAACTGGCAACCCTGTGGTTTGCAGGTCGGTGCTCAGTCCACTGAGCCACACCAGCCAGGGCCTGGGCTGAAGATTTTTAAAAAGTTGAATGACTTGTGTGTGACAAGGGTTACCACAAAAGATAAACTGAAAATGGAAAGAAAATATTTGCATAACTCTCCCATTAGAACAGGGAATTTTCAAAAGTTGGTTTTTTAAAAAGGATAACTGTAGAAGAATAGGCAAAGAATATGAATAGTTCAGAAAAGGAACTGCAGATGCCAAATACGATGTGGAAAGATGCTCACCTTTACTAGTAGTCAGGGCAGTTCATGTGTTATAAAACACCATATATGGCCTCTGCTTGGTGAATTTAGAAAGACTTACTAACCTGTGTGGGTGTTAATTGGGTGTTAATAGGAACACAGGTCCTCTTAACTTTGTTGATGGCAGTGTTAAATTTAAAATACCACCTAGAGTTGGTTTTAAAGGTGTGTTCCTAAGTTGTGCAGTTGCGTGCTCATTTGTTTATGGATAGTATTACGTCAACTGGGGAGTGGGAGAAGGTACAGAGAATAAGTAGCATAGACAGTGGGGAGAAAACAGACGGGGAGGGCAAGAGTAGTGTAGGAAATGTAGAAGCCAAAGAACTTATGACACATGGACACAAACTAAAGGGGGGGAATATGGGGGACAGGGTGTGCAGGGTGGAAGGGAATGGAAGTGGGGAAATGGGACAACTGTACTGGCATAATCAATAAAATATATTGTAAAATAATAATAATAATCAACTGGGGAGCATGTGAGCAGTGCAGATTCCTGGGCCCCACTCAAGAGATTCCTATGTGGTAAGTCTGAGACAAGGTCTGTGTTTAATGTTGACACAGATACCCCAGGCGGTTCTGAGGTGGTAGACTGTGACTGCATTTTGAGAAACTCTGCCCTTGTTCTTGGGGAAGGGAAGCACACACGGGGCTAACAGCCCAGAGTCTAGGCTGGTACTAAGAATAATTTTGGTTCTTGACCTCCTTATCTACAGATTGCAGGATACCTGTATGGGGTGAGCCCCCCGGATAACCCTCAGGTGAAGGAGATCCGCTGCATCGTAATGGTTCCACAGTGGGGCACCCACCAGACCGTACACCTGCCTAGCCAGCTGCCCCAGCATGAGTACCTCAAGGTCAGTGGGGGTGTGGGAGAACGGGGGCTTTCTGCTCTCGGGGGCGGGGGAGGGCAGGCACGCACATTGTTCTCATCCGTGGGATTCCTGTCTGCAGATGGGGCTGTAAATAGTTGTTCACTGCTCTTGCCTGTAGGAGATGGAACCCTTGGGTTGGATCCACACTCAGCCCAATGAGTCCCCCCAGCTGTCACCCCAGGATGTCACCACCCATGCCAAGATCATGGCTGACAACCCATCTTGGGATGGCGAGAAAACCATCATCATCACCTGCAGGTGGGCCTGAGGCCCCTTGGGAGGAAGCGTGGTGGGATCAGCACTGCAGGCCAGGGAACAGAATGGTGGCCTAAGCTCTGACCTCATCCTCATCCCTCTTTTAGCTTCACACCAGGCTCCTGCACGCTGACAGCCTACAAGCTGACGCCCAGTGGCTACGAATGGGGCCGCCAGAACACAGACAAGGGCAACAACCCCAAGGGCTACCTACCTTCACACTATGAGAGGGTCCAGATGCTGCTGTCGGACCGCTTCCTCGGCTTCTTTATGGTCCCTGCCCAGTCCTCGTGGAACTACAACTTCATGGGTGAGTGGGGAAGCACTGGAAAGTGGGGATGGGGTTAGGCCATCATCCTTGGCGCTTGGGCCCTGGCTGTTTTGGAGGTGGCCCTTTGTGACACTGGATGTTTTCATCTACCCCAAGGTGTGCGGCATGATCCCAACATGAAGTATGAGCTGCAGCTGGCAAACCCCAAGGAGTTCTACCACGAGGTTCACAGGCCCTCCCACTTCCTCAACTTCGCCCTCCTGCAGGAGGGCGAGGTCTACTCCGCCGACCGGGAGGACCTCTACGCCTAGTTGTTCCCTCACCTTCTCCTGCCTGACTCCCCAAAGACTCTGGAGCCTTCTAACCCCACAGACAAGCTGGTGACATTCAGCAGCTTGGCCCCTTTCCCTGTGTTTTGTGCTTGTTGTATTGTTGACCTGGTGGCTTGTAATCCTGAACAGAGTATAATAAATTTTGTATAAATTGGAGTTTTTGAGGTTTTTTTCCCCCTGAGCTCAAATTCTGGGTGTAGGATTGCCAGGAGGCTGGACTTGTTAACAGCAAGGTGCTGGGCTCTGCATTGAGGGGAGCGGAGGACCCTGTTCAGAGGCTGTGGGGCTAAATGTCCCCTAGACTCAGGGAACTGAGGTGCTGGGGGTTGAATAACACTCCTACTACTTCACCACATTTGCCAGTTTTGCTCCAAAATACTTGCAAATCGTCACTCCTTATTGCCTTTTCCTGAGTCTGAAAGCTTGTGGCTTGTTCTCTGCCACTCTGGTGCCCAGCCTAGCCCTTTAAGCTTTGTGTCACTCACAAAGTAAAATAAGCACATGGCTGGACAGTTGGCTGCCTCTGGCTGAGGTCAGTGACAGTGAAGCCCAGTAACGCCAGACATGGGGGTGGAGCCTGGGTTGGGCACTGGGGAGGGCTTGAGGAAAGTGACCACTTAACAGCCCTGGCCCTCAGCTTTTGGACGCCTGGCTGGAGGTCAGCTGTCCTGCTTCCTGTGACCTTGGGACTTGGACAGGACAGGGCCCAGGGGACCCAGGGTGCTGTCTCCTCCCACGCTGTTTTCCTTACACGCTCCTCCCCTTGTCGCTTCTACCCCACCCTCTACTGACCTAAACTAAACTGCTTCCTGGGCGGGAACTGTTTAGCTTTTTCCTGCACCAGTGAGGGTTGGTGGGGTGACTCACAGCCCTTGGCCTTCGGGGTATATGGAGCCCAGGAGGGCGGTGCCTGAAGGGCAGGGCTGGGGGCCTCCAGCGGCCACGGGGGTGGAGACGGCCGCGGAGCTCGTGTACCATCTGGCGGGGGCCCTGGGCACTGAGCTGAAGGAGCTAGCACGCCGCTTTGGGCCAGAGGCCGCAGCGGGGCTCGTGCCTCTCGTAGTGCGGGCGCTGGAGCTACTGGAAAAGGCTGTCGTGGGGCCCGCCCCCGACTCGGTGAGTCACTGTCCGCTCTCTCTGCCACCTGCGGGGCTGGCGGGGGCCTAACCCTGAGGGCTCGGACTCCCCAGCTGCAGGTGTCGGCGCTGCAAGCTGAACTGGAGCTGCAGCGGCTGCACAAGGAGAACGAGCACCTCCGCAGAGAGTTGCGCCATGGTCCACAGGGTGAGTGTGGAGTGTGGCCCAGCCGGGGGATGGGGTGGGGGTGTGGGGAAGGCTCAGAGCCTATCTCCCGCGGGCCGCCGCTAAGACCACCCCTTCCTCAGAGGAGCGTGCTCTGCTGCGGCAGCTCAAGGAGGTGACCGACCGACAGCGGGACGAACTCCGGGCATACAACCGTGACTTGCTGCAGCGCAGCCAGGAGACGGAGGCGGTAAGGGCTCCGACAGACAACAGGCAACAGTGTGGGGCGGGGCTCCCTCAGTGCCTCGCCCACCAGCCCTATCATTTGCTATGCCCAGTTGCAGGAGCAGCTGCAGCGCCTCCTGCTGGTGAATGCAGACTTGCGGCACAAGCTGGCCGCAGTACAAACCCAGCTGCGCGCTGCATGGGACCGTGAGAGTGAGTGGGAGCCGCTGCGTGAAGGGACCGTGAAACTGTCTCAGCAGCGGGCACGGGAACAGTCCGGGGGTCCTGGGTGTGAGCAGAGGCAGGAGCCCAAGCGGCCGACCGCCGAAGCAGAAGTCCTGAGGACCCAGGAGGACCCGGTCAGTGCCTGCTGAGGTCAGGGGCTCTTCCCAGTACTGACAGCGTCTGGCACTGGGCGGGCACTCGGGAAAGGTTTGCTGTGCTGCGTAGCAGGTCCAAGAGGAAGTTGGAAGGTGGCACACAAGTATGTCCCCCACCCAGACTCTTTCCCACTCTCCTCTAGAGCATTCCGTCATCTGTTGTAGCGCCCTCGTCTTCCAAGTCTCCCTGCCGGTCACTCCCCCGAGCATTCCTGTGACGACCCAGGCACACAGAAGCGCCAACCAAGGCGGCCCTCTGACCAAGCCACCCTTTGCAGGAGGATGCCCCGCAGCAGCCACTGTGTTCCTCCAACGTGGGGCAGTGTGGCTTCAGTCGAGAGGAGCTTGAGCAGATCCTCCAGGAGCGGAACGAGCTCAAAGCCAATGTGTTTCTGCTGAAGGAGGAGTTGGCCTATTTCCAGCGGTGAGGGCACCGGGCGGAATAGGAAGCTGAGGGGCTCCAGTCACACCTGTTCCTGGGCCTCACTCATGTCACCTGCCTCATTCTTTAGTTCAGTGACGTGTACCAGGCACTGTGCTGGGCACTGGGAGGACATGAATCACACAGCTCCTGCCCTTGCGGGACTTCACCCAAATGAGGGAAGGGCAATACAAAGGGTCGCAAGGGGCAGTGACACCTAAACTAAGGTTTGGGGACTGTTAGTAAGGCAAAGTGTTTCAGAAACAGGGTTCTTTGGTGTGAGACTCACTGTTGGCAACCCTGTCGCTTTTCCCCTGCCCTTTCCCCTCCCCTGTAGGGAGCTGCTCACAGACCACAGGGTCCCTGGGCTTCTGCTGGAAGCCATGAAGGTGGCTGTCAGGAAGCAGCGGAGGAAGATCAAGGCCAAGATGTTAGGGACCCCAGAGGAAGCAGAGAGCAGGTAAGTCCCTGCCTCCATTCTCACGGGGCCAGCCCTCCTGCCGGCTGTGTCCTGCTGAGTCCGATGGCCCAGCTGGTCCTGCTCTCACCCTGCCTAGCGTCTCCTAGGTCTGCTGACCTACTCTGCCCACCCCCCTTTAGCTGGCTGACCCAGCCTGGCTATCTTTGGAGTCTTTTGTCTCAGGCTGAAGCTATTGCCTGCAGACTAGTCACCCCTAGAACCTACCACTCTAGTCTAGCAGCGTTTGAACTCCCTAACCTGGCCCGGTTACCTCCCGAGCCTGTTTTACAGCCTGCCCTGCAGACTCTGTTGCTCCCGCTGGTCACCCCGGGCCTGCTGTCCTGAGCCTGCCGCCCCTGTCCCTAGATCTCCCGGCCGCGCTCGCTATGCCTCCTGCTGAGGGGCCCTGCCAGTGCCGTCTCTCCACACTCATTTTTCGGTTCTCTGTCCTGGCTGTGTCTGTGTGTTCTCGGAGGGGTAAGGCTGTAGCTGTGGGGCCTCCATAGGAAGCCCAAAGCACTGGGTTCTAAGAGCTTCTGGGTTGGTGAGCACACGGCGACACGGGGCTAATGACGGGCCTGAAGAGGGCGTGGAAGCCCCGTGCCTTTCCCCACACCTCGCCCTGTGCTCCTTTTCCACCTGCCTATTCCTGAGTTCTATTCTTATGTAATACATCAGTAGTCTAGTAAAGAAAAAAAGAAAAAGAAAAAGACTAAAACTACAGCCTTGTCAGGGGCCCACTGTCCATCAGCCTATAAAATGAAAGTCTCAAGCTATCCTTCGTCTCCCCAGTGTCTCCTCTCCAGACGTGGGGGCTGTGCTGTCACTCTGTCCTCCCCTGCCTGCTCCTGGGGGCTGCACAGAAAGCTGACCATAGCTGTACTCCCGTTGTCCCTTTTGGCCTTGGTCAGTGACCCTCGCCTCTTTCCTCTGCCTCAGTGACGATGAGGATGGCTCATGGCTCCTGCTCTCCAGCCACAAGGGAGACTACCCCCCGCCTCCCGATTCCAGAATACAGAGTTTGTACGTCGGGGCAGGAGGAAGGGCAGACGTGGTGGTGAAGAGGGGGCCCCACCGTGCTCCTTTTGGCATCCCCGCCCTACTGTCCCGGCGCTCACCCTGCCATCCTGGGCTCTGAGCGCCCCTCCCCTTCTGCTTCTCTGACCCTGGCCCCTCACTTCCCCACTACCTCGCGCTGCCCTTTTTTCCTTCTGTGTCCCCATTTCTCACTGTCCCCTGTCCCCTGTCCCCAGCCCATATCCTTGATCTCTCTGGCATCCAGGCTCAAAGTACCTCTGGCTCTTCCCCCGCAGCTTTGGCCAGTGTTATCGGGGTGAAGTGGAGGCCCCTGAAGCCAAGAGCAGCAGCACAGCTCCCAGCGAGCCAGGGGGAGAAGGAGAGACCCCGCAGCGACCCCACTTGGGGCTTATGGGCAGCTCCTGACCGGCCCTGCTCTGCTCTCGATGAACACCTTTGTCTGGGGGTCTCAGGTGCCCCAGAGGCCTGACTTTGGAGTCTGACTGTGGGTGGATGTGCGACCTCAAACGAGGACCGGGCTCCCTCCTTCCCAGCCTCCCAGGCTCTTTCCCGGTCTCGGCCTGACCCAGGGCAGCGCTGGGGGCTCAGCCTCTCTTCCTTCCCTGTCTCTCTGAGCTGAGCCACCATGGTCAGGTAAAAGTGCTTCACCTCTGAGTCCCAGTTTCCCCATCCATGAAATGGAGAACTGACTACCTACCTCCCAGAGATTTGTGCAGATGGCCTAAGCTCATGTAATAAAGTTACTGCCCGTGATACCCAGAAACTGTCCCATGTCTGTCTGTCACTGGTCTGCCCCCCCCCGCTCCCCCCGCCTTGGCCAGGGGTGAGGGTGGGCTGAGGCCACCTCACAGGGTCCCCTTGGTTGTCACTGGGTGGGGAGGTTTCTCCCAGCTTGGGCCTCACTGAGGATACGACCTAATGGGAAACTATAGCTGCCTCCTCGCCGCATCCCCTCACCTGTTCCCAGTACCCCATGACTTAGGGCTTCATCTTCCCCCTCCAGATTGAAACCAGCCCCTTAAGCCCCCACTTGGCACTGGCACAGGCCCTCATTTCCTTTTCATCTCTCCAGGATCGCCAGTCTCCCCAGCACCTTTGTACCCACCCTCTCAGGGAGGTGCCTCGGGGCAGCCCGCCCCTCCGGCCTGGTTTCCTCAGGAAAAGCCTCAGGAGGAAACAGGGGGGGGGGTTGGGAGCTGTGGGGGCCAGACTGACTCCAGCCCGCTCACGGCACCGGCTGCCATGGGGCCGCGGCAGCTGCTCCCACTGCTACTGCTCTGGACTCGGGCGACCCAAGGGTCTGAGCTGGACCCTAATGGGCAGCACGTCTGCGAGGCCAACAGGTGGATATTGTGGGAGTCTGACGGGGGGTGGTGGCCAAACTGGTGTTAAGGCCTGGGGGGGAGGAGGAAGTGAGGGAAGAGGTCATGGGGCTGAAGGGAGGGAGGCTTGGGAAGAGCGGGGGTGAGGGGTGGACAGGACGGGCTGGAAAGGCCAGGGAAGGAGAGGGAAATGGTTGGGGTCAGTGGGGCTGCGACTCGCCGCTAGGCCTGCCCAACGGGCCAAGGCGGCCTCCCACATCTCAGCCAGAGAGAGCGAAGCACCTCTGAAGCCAAGCGCGCCCCTGCTGACCCCTCTCTGCCCCACAGCCCCTCTGCTGAGCTCCAGTGCTGCCCAGGCTGGAGGCAGAAAGATCAAGAGTGCACCATCCGTGAGTAGCCAAGACTGACCCCCACCCCTCCTGTGGCACACATACCCAGCCCTGAGGGGAACCAGGAGCCAGTGAGAGGGCAGAAAGTCCCCTGGTCAAGCCCCAGTCTTTTTGACCTGGGTGGGGTGTTTTTCAGCCATCTGCGAGGGGCCCGACGCCTGCCAGAAAGACGAAGTGTGCGTGAAACCAGGCCTCTGTCGATGCAGACCTGGATTCTTCGGGGCCCAGTGCAACTCCCGTGAGTCCTGAGTCTCGCCCAGGGGATGAGGTTGCCGGGCAGGCCTAGGAGAGAAGGGAGGATCGTCATGACCTTAGAACAGCAGGGCCAGAGTCTCCCAAGCTGAGGAAATTGAGGCCCAGGGACAGGAAGTGACACTCCTGGGAGATGCCCTGACTCATCTGGTTTTTACTTGTACCACAAAGACCTATGCACAGTGTCAGTTCTGGGCCCTTCACCTTCCTTTTCAACTCAGAAAACTTGCTGGAAATTCCTGTTAATTGCAAAATGGATGCATTCTTGGTCTCCCCAACATATACCTGTACATGGTGGTGGGGGGCGGGGGTGGAAGGAGGGCCCTGGCCAGGCTGTCTGCCCTTTCTGGCAGAAATAAGGGCATGGGAAAGGGGTTGGTGGGCAGGATAACCAGAGGACAGCTGGAAGCGGGGTTGAGAGGAGACCCTGGGAGGGAATGTGGCTGCTTCTCCTGCGACCCTGATGGGCAGCATCCAGGCCTTCCCCGGGCCCAGCGCATCTCCAGCGCAGTGGAGGAACCCAGTGGGAGGGAGGAGGGGGCATGAATGAAGCCCCCCCCTGCACACACACACACACACACACACACACACACTTTTGTGTGACTCTGGGCAAGCCCCTTCCCTACTCAGGACCTTTAAGTGTGTTGTGGAACATGAAGTGGGAGGCTGGGTCACTGCTGAGGGCTTTTGTAGTTCAGAGTCTGGGGCAGGAAGTGAGCTTTGCCTCTGGAGGATATGATGCCAGATGTTCCAGGGGTCTGTTCCTGGTTCTTGGAGGATGGGCCTGGCGCCCCTCCTCATTGTGGGAGGGGCCCCAGACCCTGCATCCGTGCCAGGCCTGAGCCCACTGACCGACCCCCTTCCGTCTCTCCCCCACCCCTCCATTCTCTGCCACGCAGGCTGCCCAGGCCAGTACTGGGGCCCCGACTGCCGTGAGAGCTGCTCCTGCTACCCCCATGGCCAGTGCGAGCCCGTCACTGGTGCGTGCCGCTGCCAGGCCAACCGCTGGGGCAGCCACTGCGAGTTCGAGTGCTCTTGCAGCCCTCATGGGCGTTGCGACCCGAAGACTGGCGACTGCTACTGCGAGCCTGGCTGGTGGTCGACCAAGTGCCACCACCGGTGCCAATGCAACAAAGTGGGGGCGCGCTGTGATCAGAACACTGGCTCCTGCCTGTGCGAGGCGGGCTGGTGGGGCCGCCGCTGCAGCTTCCCCTGCAATTGCAACGGCTCGCCTTGTGCACAGGAGTCGGGCACCTGCGTCTGCAGGCCTGGCTGGTGGGGCCGCGAGTGCCGGCAGCAGTGTGAGTGCGTGCGCGGCCGCTGCAGCCCAGCCTCCGGCCAGTGCGCCTGTCCGCCCGGCTTCCGCGGCACACGCTGCGAGCTGCCCTGCCGGGCGGGCCGCTACGGGACGCAGTGCAGCCACCGGTGAGCGAGGCCGGCAGGAGGGGGCGAGGGGCACCGGGGCGCGGTGGGATAGAGGTGGAGGGAGTGAGAAGGGCAAGAGGGAGAAAGCGGCTCCATGCTCTGCATACCAATCTACAAGGGCAGGATGGAAGCGGGGATAAAAGACTCTCAATGCCCCGAAGTCCAGCCGCCCACTCACTCCCTTTTCATCCGATTACTGTTAACAATAACAAAATACTAGTATAGCAAGTAATATAGGGTTAGGATTACTAGTATACTAAGAAGTGGGTAAAGAATAAATCACAAGACAAAATGATTGCTCAGTCCCTTTGAGATGAAATGACTTTCAGACTTCGACCAACTCCGCTCACAATAATACGTTTTACCTCCCACTTAACACACACCCGTATATGTACACATATCACTGAAGTAAAAAGCTTAACCAGACAGTACATTTATCTTTGCTACACGTACATATGTGATTATAACATGCATTATACTCTAATGCTTTCTAGTCTCTCTCCCCCCTGCTCCCCCCCCCCCCTTTTTTTAATGCTGGTCCAGAAATGCTAAAGTGATTTTAGGAACTTCCCTCTTCCCCCACTAATGAGTCTAATCAAAGTGTATGACTCCAGATAATTAAATATCTGAGGGAGAAACTTCAAGTAACTGTGAAGGATCAATGAGAAATTAAGACGATAGGAACCTAATTGGAAAACTTGCTAAGAGAGTAAATCTTAAGTGTTCTAATCACAAGGAAAAAAATGTTTCTTTCTTTTTATTTATTTTTTTGATCTCTATATGAGGTAGTGGGTGTTAACTAAATGTTTGCGGTGATCATTTCACAGTATCTGCAAATCATGTCACCACCGTGTGGTACACCTTAAACTTGTACAGTGTTGTATGTCAGTTATATCTCGATAAAACTGGGGCAAATTCTCAAAGATAAGGTAAATTTGAAATTATAGTGGTGAAATAGACATCAAAATGCTTTTATTTTCACTAATTTTCACGTTATGGGATAGGAGATAAACTGCTGAGGCCCATCCCTGTCAGGGGTACTGTGGGTGGAAGGGTGCTGGGCAGGAGGGAGGCAAAAGTCCGGCAGTGACATGGCTGCTCTGGCTGGGTTGGTAGCTCCTGGTGACCCTGGGACCCAGGGAAGGATGAGTCCTGGAATGGGGGGTTAGGAGGAGAGGGCTGGAACTCTCTAGAGTCTGTGGAGATAAGTTGTCCAGCCTCTTTGTAGCACGCTGTGGGGAAGCTGAGGCTCAGACCTGCCTCAGTGACTTAGCTGGGACCCGGGTGCTCTCCAGGGCCTCTCTGGAGGCTTGGGTGGGCACTCCATCCATGTGGCCTGAGCGTGTCGTGCGAAATTCTTTTCCCAGCTGTGGCCACTGCAAGCGGAATGAGCCGTGCTCTACAGACACGGGCAGCTGCGAGTCCTGCGAGCCCGGCTGGAACGGGACCCAGTGCCTCCAGCCCTGTCCACCTGGCACCTTTGGCGAGAGCTGTGGGCAGCAGTGCCCCCGCTGCCGGCGGGGCGAGGCCTGTCAGCCAGACACTGGGCACTGTCAGAGCTGTGACCCTGGCTGGCTGGGGCCCAGGTAAGGGGCCAGCCTGCTCAGGTTGAGGTGCACCTTCCTTCAGGATCCTCACCCCAGCTGCTCCCTCTGGGATAGGCGTCCCTTTCCCCAAACACACAGTCACACAGCCCTCCGGGGCCTGCCACATAGCAGAGTGAGGGGAGAGAGGTGGACACTGATGAGGCCCTGGGCGGGGTTCTCTTCCAGCTTCCTGCCACGCAGGCTGCCTGCCCTCTCCTCCCTCTGGGGACCTCTGGTCTGTCACCTGTTGGATCTGGCCCCAGCTTCAAGGCCCTGTTTGTATCTGAGCTTCACTACTGAGGACCCACAGTTGGGTTCCTGAGTCCAGAAGCACGGGGGAAGATGGGCAGGGCCCCATTCAAGGTCTTGCCTCGCCTTAGGTGTGAAGACCCCTGCCCGAGTGGCACCTTTGGGGAGGGCTGTGGCTCGACCTGCCCCACCTGTGTTCAGGGGGCTTGTGATGCTGTGACTGGGGAGTGTGTCTGCAACGCTGGCTACTGGGGACCCAGGTGAGGACTGGGGCCCTAGCAGAGAAGCAGGGGCCTAGGTCAGGCCTCTGTGAAATCTGTTTCCTTGGCTTCCCTTCCTGGGCTTATCCACTTCCCATGTACCCCTGCAGCATCCTCATTACTGAGGAGTTATTCTTCCTGTTGTGGGGTCTGCATCCTCCAAAGGAGGGCCAGCATAATTAATGCTTCGTGTAGAAGGCCTGGCTCCTGGCCTAGCTGGGGAAGTTATTTAGGGGCAGGGCTCCAAACCCCACTGTGGTTTCCCTAAGGGCTTAAGGTA